AACCCACATACTACACCTGTTCAAGGGCCTGCTCTCCCAGGAAGCCCTTCCTGAGTAGCCAACCACCCGGCAGTCCCCTCTGCCTGCAGGCCCTTTGTCTCCTGTTCTCCTCTCCACAGCGAGCTCCTTTGTGACTGCTCTCTACTAGTACCAGAAACATAGGTACCATTATGATGTGTCCCTAGCTGCCGCTTTATAAAAGTAATTTTAAATATTTATTTTTACATCTAATTCTAAACTCTGTAAAGTGTATTTTGGTTTATAGTGTTGGGTTAGAGACAGAACGAACGAGTTTTCAAATGTTGATCCATTGTTAGAGCACCAGTAAGAATATTCACTTGCCCTTTGATTTGTGTAGTTCTTCTATGGTATACTGAATTCTTGGCTACTAGGCTGATTGACTACTTTCTATTATGTTTTATTTATCTTTCTGTTTTCAACTGAACGACATTATAGATTAGCTTGATCCTACCCTTTTTGATACTCAGAACTGTTTACCCCTCTCTGTAGAATAATATAGATGGTTTACCTTACATCTCATGCTATGGGTATTTCTAGTTATTTTGCTTTTTTTTTATTACTATTGTGGAGGAAATTTTTTAGTATTTTGTTTTCCAAATTGTTTTTACTAGCATAGTGGTAGGGTATTTTTTTTAATCTTAAATCTGAGCTCTTTATTCTCAATGATTATGATTTGATTTTGTGGTTTGTTAATATCTAATCATAATATCTGCAAGTAATGAAAATTTACTTCTTCCTAAAAGTTTTCTGTTTGGCTGGAAATTCCAGAGCAAGCACTATTAACTAATAATGTTAATAATGAGTATTCTTGTCACAGAAAAACTAAAACCATTTTTAAGGAAAAACTATGGTCAGCTTTCTATTAAAAATAAAATCAACAAGGCATCTTTAGTTGGTCCTAGAATAGATCAGTTGCTTTGCAAATTTACCATGGATGAGGTATATCAAGATACTGGGAGATGTATATCAAGAAGCTGGGAGATGTTCCTTTCTTCAGCAAGGAGGCAACATCTGATTAACACTAATTGCCAACTTCAAAGGAAAGGAACTAAAGAATCTCATGAATATCAACATGAGAGATTTTTTCCTGGATACCTCTCATGGGCAAGGAAAACAAAAGCAAAAATAAGCGGATATACACCTAACTAAAAAGCTTCTGCACAGCAAAGGAAATCCTCAACAAAACAAAAAGGCATCCCACCATATGGGAGAATATATTTGCAAATGATATATCCAATAAGGGGCTAATATCTAAAATATATGAAGAACTCATACATCTCAACACCAGAAAAGGGAAATTCAATTAAAAAATGGGCAGAGGACCCAAATAGACATTTTTCCAAAGAAAACATACAGATGGCCAACAGACACATGAAAAGATGCTCAGCATCACTAATCATCAGGGAAATGCAAACCCAAATCACAATAAAATATCACTCACACCAGTCAGAAAGGCTGGTCAACAGGACAAGAAACAACAAGTGTTGGCAAGGATGTGGAGAAAAGGGAACCCTCCTATACTGGTGGTAGGAATGTAAATTGGTCCAGCCACTGTGGAAAACAATATGGAGGTTCCTCAAAAAACTAAAGATAGATATGCCATATGACCCAACAACTCTACTTTAGGGAATGTAATGGCTTAAAATATGAACCATTTGTTTAGCTCACAGTTCTGTAGGTTGGCAATTTTGGCTGCATTTAGCTGGGCAATTCGGTTTTCACCTGGGCTCCCTCCTGAGTCTGTGGTCAACCATGGGTTGGTTAGGTGTTTCTGCTTCTGGGCATTGACTGGTTTTTGACTGGGATTTGAGTTCTCTAAATGGTGTCTTTTCCTCCAGAAACCTTACATAGGTTTTTTCTATGGTGGTGCAACTGGACAAGGGTCTGCTGTCAGATGCACATCATAAACTGAACACAGGACACTGGCTTTCATAAAAGGGAAGAACTTTTATTGTGCAGTCTCCCAGAAAGGAGATAGGAAGCAAGGCTGAGATCTGACTCCCAGATGGTAGGAAAGAAGCGGTATTTATCATGGAAGTAGGCAGTAAGGGGTGTCAGGGCTATGAAGTGATTGGTGAAAGGGTAAAGGGAAGTTCTCTGAGGTCTTTTCATAGGCACAAGCTGTCTGTATGTCTCTTCATGCATTGCATGTTCAAAAAATGGCAGCATTAGTATGATCTGGAGGTGGGGTTTTGGGGTCCTCTAAAGTCAAACATCACCCTCTGGACATCTGCAGAGGCTCAGATGAGGTGTCTGAGGCTCAAGCAGCTTGGACCAGTCTGCTCTGTGTCAAGCTGGCTTTAAGTGTTCTGCAAAATATCTTAGCCAGTTTGTGACCTTTGTGCCAGAGATGTTAAGACAGTACAGAAAGTAGTAATAGAGCTTAACGATGTAGTGAGTAGTGGGAAGGGAATGACTTCTGGCTTTTCAGTTAGAAGGTCACTTTCAGTGGTGGCGGAGGTCTGAGAGCAGAAGCAAGCACAGCCTCTAGAAGCTAGCGTGGCCCAGAGTCGCTGCTGCTCGCACTGCATTCTCTTAGCCGGAAGAAGTCATGAGGCCAGCTGACGGGAGTAAGGAGTGTGCGTTTTCCTGAGAAGATAAGAGAGGCTGCACTGGGTGGATTCTGCTTAGATGTGGTGTTAAACTAAGAGTCCAAACTGTATTTAATTAATAATTCATTTTTCATTTTTTATTAATCAAAAATATGTAATGAATATATAATAATACAGCAACTTCAAATAACAGTTTTAAAAGGCTGAGATTTGCTGCTTTTGTTAGCTTGCACAATTTGTTATAATATGAATAAATATACTATTGATTATAATTTTGGAGTAATTACATATATTTCTCAGTCCTCCATTACTATGTCCAAAGTTTGCTGGTGGGGAACCACAGCTCTAGCCCTTTGCTTTTCTTCCTCGCCCTTTCCTGGGCATCAATGGTATAGATGTGGGACATGTCCTGACAAGAAATGATGGTAGCTAGAAAGAACTAAGGTAGTGGCAGGGGAAAGATATGATGGGGAGAAAACCTATGAGAATTAGTAATTCATTGAAGTGGGAGGGCCTGAGAGGTGGGAGAAGCAAGAGTGACCTCCAGGTTCATCGCTTAGGCAACATGGTGACACCCTTCTTGTAGACGGAGAGATGGAAAACTGGGAAGGAAGAGCAGAATTGGGTAGAGGGGATAAGAATGTATTTAGTCTTGGCTGTAGTAAAGTTTGTGATCCTTTGGAATTCGGAATATCCAAGTAGAGAAGTCTATTAATTGCACATGAGTGGAGGGTTTAGTACAGAGTTCCAGGTTAGTGATATGAACTTGTAAGTCATAAGCCTATTGTCAGAGGTTGAAACTAAGGTACAGGTATCATCCAGAGATAGTATATAAAGGGAGAAAGTACATGGCTGAAGGCAGAGCTCTAGAGAACATTAGCATTTAAGGAGGAAAGAAGACTGAAAAAGAATGGCTAGACAAGTAGAGTAAAAATCTGGTGAGAGTATCTGGGGCGAAGGGAGGAGAGCTTCAGAAGAGATGGGAAAAGCTGGAGAAAGATCACCTGATTGAAAATCAGGCATTTCCATAAATACCTTCTCCGTTTATAAAATTAAAAGGAAAATAAAATTTCATTTTATCAAAATAGTCTTGTTAGAGAATTTTGTTAGAGGGTTTATAATGTATGTATTAGGTCAATATCAGATATTTTAAAGCATAGATAATACATATAAGTAACTAGAACGTGGTAGTGAATGTATATTACTGGCATGGCCTTAACTGGTGATTCTGGCTGATTTTATTTGTTTTATATGTGAACTTTACTTCCTTCCACCTTCCTTCTTTTGCTTCCTTCCCATCTTTTCCTAATGTAATATGATGAGTAGAGGATTGAGCAAAGAGCATGAGGTGTCCTGGTTATGTAAGGGAAAACCAAACAAAATGTGGATGCTTCTAAGAGATTATGAACATTTCTTGGTTCTAATTTATGTAGTGACTAAAGCAAATTTCAGATTACTGTTTCATTCTAGTCTAATCTAGTCTTCACTGTAAAATGAAATTCTCGTATTCTAACTATCCTTAAAATCTTGACAAGTAATTCAGGAAGTAGCACTCATACAGAGTTCATAGAGATCTCTAATTTCAGGGCCATTATGTAGCTGTTGAAATGATTACTAAATGGGGCAGACTGGTCTGCCTTTCCTTGTTGGGCAAAGAAACACACAAGACACTTGGTTGGCTGTTGAGGGATGGGGGATGGGGAGGAAGATGTAAAATGGGCTTAGCCAGACTTTGTCCTGTGGAAGTTTGCAGGGGAGAGAAGCAATGAAGATAACTAACAGTAGAGAAAAGTGAAAGTGGGAGGAGCTACAGATTCGAAGAAAAGAATATATCATCTGCGAAAATCTGGAGAAATTGGCATTTCAATTAGTGAGTTTTGAATAACCACAATGGAGTAAGGAGCATTCTACCTCAAGAGAATATTGTGACCAAAGGCACTGGCCACCAAACAAGTATTTGTTGAATGTCTGAGTAAATGGAAGTGGGTAGCATTTGTTTTTTCACTGATTTACTCAGTATAATATATGAGTGTTTCCTATGTGCCAGGTAGTGTGGCAGTTAGGTGCTGGGAATATATTATCTTAAAGGAGTGACAAATAAAACCAACTAATGAGTTTGTAAATTCAAAATGAGAAGGACTGTTAGACTACTGAATAATTAGGGTGAAGAGAGATGGTTAGGTAATGTAGTCCAGGAAGGGCCTTTGATGGAGTGAAAATTTGAAGCTGATTTTTGTGAGACCCACTTTGAGATATTTACCCAGTTTGAAGTCTTTACCATTGTTGCTATCTCAAAACATTTAATTTGGCTAAGTGACTCTGCCTTAAACATCACCTGTAAATTTATGTTTTCCATCAGTATTAGCTTTATCCATTGTTGAATTATATACCTGTTGTTAAATTTACCATGTTATCCTTGTTTTTCAGAAACCAAAGCTGAAAGATTGGCATCCTCCTGGGGGTTTTATTCTCGGGCTGTGGGCACTCATTATCATGGTTTTCTTCAAAACCTATGGAATCAAGCATATGAAGTTCATTTTCTAGATGTGATGAAATATGAAAAAGGCTGCATGGAAGACTACAACCTCACATACAAATTTATGTCATTGTATCTTTTTAAAAATACATTACTCTTGTGTTAATTGAGCAAGAAGTATAAGAAAACTGTAAATTTGAGTGACCTATTGATTTTATACCTTAAAGGAAAAATAACTGTTAGTGCAAATCACACTGAATATATTTGTTTTTCATTTTGTGTGTTATTAAAAAATGGGGCAAAGAGATCAGAATATAATCATAGACTCTTGAAAAGAACAATTTCCCCTTATCCTTTAACGTATAAAAGAAAAAAAATGAAGACATTAAATTCTCATCAGCAGAGGCAACGTCTGTTAGTAATTTTGTGTATAATCTCCCAGTCTTTTTTTCCCATGTACATGCATTTCTTTTCCAAAAATGACATCATATAGAACATACCATTTTTTTTAACCTCACTTTTCATTTTACCACATTTAATCAACCCTTTCCCTCTCCTTGGATATTCTTTAAGAACACATTGTGAATGGCCGCATAGTATCCATTTTATGAATACACAGTAATTTATTTAATATTCTTCTATTGTTGGACCTCTTGCCTTGTTCCAAAAATTCTGCCTTGGTTCATTCTTTAATGTGATAATATTTTACTGTCAGCCATTCTTGAAATTCTGCAGCTTAAATTATAAGTAAATATGAGAAATCAGTTTCTTAATCTATGGTACTGATAGTCTCCATCCAGGACCTTATTTGCTGGCAGTTTATCTGAAAATTTAAGTTCTTGGGAATTTCCTATATAGACTGCTGAAGAGAAGCAGCCCCATTGTTTGTCATTTCGAAGCATTCTGTGATCCTTTAGAATTGATCACTTTCTCTTCAATTTCCATGTTGAAAGTGACATTGTTTCATTTCATTTAAGGTAAACCTTGCCCACTGGCTGGATCTACTCTTTTCCTGAGGTAGTCCCATAAAGTGGTTGGACTGTATAGAAAATTTACATTAATGGCCCTGTCTTTGTGTCTGACTCATATATCATGTAAGGCAGAAATGATTGCCTTTTTTAGGCATAACTGGAAATACTGAGATTGTGCTTTGCTATCAGCCCCAGATACTGTTTTTTTCACATAGGCGGGAGAAAACCCCCTGAAACTTGAGTATTCATATCCCACAGATGCCTTTCTCTATTTGTCTGTTTTATCCAAGAACTTAGTGTTAATTATTATTCATTACAAAGATCTACTTTGTAATTGTAGGTAACACTAAAAAGACAGTTCTTCCTCCACAATAAAACCTCCCAAAATTAGTATTCCTTAGGATTTGTTTTCCTTTTAGTACTTAAAATATTACCCTTTAATTACATGCAACATAGTTATGCCTTTCACAGGCAAAGAATAAACTGTGTTATCTTCCAGGTAGAACAGATGATACCGAGGCTTTTTGCCAGCTCCACATCTTCATTTTAATTGATCTTTTTATTGGTACACTAGATAAATGAAGAAGGAGAATTTTTATCTGATTATATGGAGAAGGATCCTTTTGTACATAGAAAGGAGGAAAATAAACTTAAATATGAACACCCAGATCATATAATGCTAAGAGACAAAAATCGTTGACCTTGTCACCCTCCAAGCACACAAGGTCATAAACACTGTGGTAGGGTGGAACTACTTAATGTGGTAAAGGAAATACGGTTGTTCTTGAGCCAAAGGAATTTAGTTTGACTATAATGAAACATATCTTGAAGGTAAAGACTGCTGAAAGGTAAAAGGACTCCTCTTCAGAGGTTGTAGAAGGAGCCCTTCTTAGTTAAAACCAAGCTAGGGAAAGTAATACTGGGTATAAGATACAGGATTAACTTTGTCCAGGCAAAGTTTCAGAGTGGAGTTATTTCTGTTTCATTATTTTCAGAATATAAAGCAAAAAACTTAAAATATGTTAAATGTTCACCTTGTTACCATTTTTTTTTACATGAAGTGTATTCTGCCTTCAATAATAAATAAATCCTCTGCATGTGGTAATTGGGTAATATTGTAAGTGCAATTAAATGGCCCAGACTTTAAATTATAACATAAAAGCACATCTTCAATATATTCTGTTGAGTCACAAAGAGGTAAACAACTGAAATGTGTTTATTTTTGCCTTTCTCAGTATTGTTGTGAGAATCAAATGAGATAATGTTATGACTAAACATTTTGGAAGCTGTAAATATACAATGGCATTATTTCCCTATTTCTCTTTAGGAATATGCCGAGGGAGAAGCCAATTGTGTCAGTGTCCCTCTTTCGGTTGAGCTTACTTGCCTTTCTAAGCATTTACTGTGACTCTTGGTCACTTTGGTATTCTTTCTCTACTCCCCTATGGTGTCTTTCAGGGAGAACAGGAATATAGTTAAATGGATACCAGCAGACATGTCCTGACCTTTTGGGAAAGGGGCAGAGAATAATGATGCCATTCTGCAAAGGCAGCCTGCATGAGAAAAAGAAACCAAGTAATGTGGATTTTAAAATTACAAAAAGACATTCATTTGCAGTTTATGAAAGGAAATTTGGTTTGGATGCAAAGCTGATTAAATTGGATCGAGAAAAATTGGAATTAAATACATAAAATAATGCATGCATTTATGGATTCAATTTTTATATATCGTCAGCTAGTTGAAAATGATGATTCCCACAACAAGCATAACTTAGCTTGTTTCTGCTTACTGAGTATTTTCTACTATGTATGTTGATAACATTTCTTCCATTATGTATGTTGTATAGCAGAGTCACAGTTACTGTGGGAATCATAATCTGAAATTTTGATTCATATGTTTCTAGAGTCTTTACAACAAATGTTGTATTAACATAGAACTTTTTCATTGGTTTAACCAAAATTAAATCCATCGCAGATACTGTTTTAACTTGTGAAAGAAATATTTTATAAACATACCACAGGTATGGCTATAAAGTAATGAGATCAGTATCCATTTTGGCTTTATGGAATCAGCTCATCACTCGTTGTCATATCTCCTACCTGAGGGCATTTGCTACAAAGAAGGTGTTCTCCAGAATCGCCATTCTGTTGCTGCCTGCCCTGCCTACACATGCACCTGCTGTGTACTAAGAAAGTCTTCCAGTTAATTTTCATGGACAATATTTAGCAGTCTTTCTTCTTCATTTTAGTGCAAAATTTTACTGTTTGGGAAATGTGCTATGTAGTATTTGGTTTCATTTATTCATGTAGACCCTTGAATAATGGGATGAAGATGTGACTAAGAAACTGGGTATTAAAAATTCACTTACTATAAACACAGAAAGGTGGTCGCTGCCATATTGCTTCATCTGGGCTACTTGAAGCCTTAGAGACTGCAGAGGACTTTCCAGTTTGCCCAAAGAATACCTGGTCACGGGGTCTACCAAGTGGGTCTCATAATGATAGGATTTTAAGTCGAAAAAATCTTAAGTTTACCCCACCAAGTTTAGGATGGCTTGTTGTACAGGGAGAGTAACTGGAACACTATGTTAGTGTTACCCACTCTAGTAGATGTTATAAGGGATACAAAGAAACAGGATTCTTTTTTAAAGAGTTACAAATTAATTATTGAAATGATGAAGGGCAGAGACAGGAGACGAGCATCATGATTAGTTTTCCAGACAAGCTGAGATATAAACAGTATAACAGGAGGGATTCCATCTTAAGGCTAAGATTCCATTTTAAAAGCTAGGAAGTTAGGAGGTAAGATTCCTAATGTATTTTTTGGTAGACAGACAATAACTCAACCCACCTTAAAACAAGGCAAATGGTCTTAACTGATATATTCCCAGAGAGAATCCACTATCCTGGGGAGAAACTGGATCAATACATTTATTGTGTTAAGTTTATTTTGCACCAGAGGACTGATAATGGAGGAAACATGGTGTCTCTCACCAGAGATGAGCATCTTGAGACCACTTTATAAGTCTATACCCCTGGCCCTTTGTCACATTCCTGAAAAAATCCTTAAAAGAGGGAACCCCCAGCTTTTCAGTGCACCTCCTCTCTGAGGATGCCTGCACTTTTATTTCTACTTCATTTCAGAGCCTACTTTTTTTGAATGAATGGTTGTCATTCACTAATTTGACTTCCTTGTATTTGTGAACATTTTTGTGAATCTACCTTCTACCACTCTCCTGAAACTATTTTCTTTACTGATATCAACAATCTCCTAACTGCCAAATCTGATGGAATTTTCTGCCTTTATATTTCTTCTCTCTCCTTAATATATAACAGCTGTGATTTATTTCCACTTTTAGAAATGTTTCCTCTTCATTCATGGTACAGCTCTCTCCCCAGCTTTTCATCACTTAGCTGCCTCTTTTCAGCCTTCTCCCCAAGTGCTGCTCTTCGACATCCCACTCCAGGTGTTCTGCAGAGTTCTGTCCTCAGACTCTTCAAATTCAACCCCATCCCTGAATATTTTCATCCCCAAACACAGTTTCCACTATTACCTCTGCACCATTGGCAGCCTAAATTCTCGATCTCAGTATCTCTCTTGAGTTACCAGGAAGCTACCAGAAGCACCCATATCTACTTGAAAGCCCCTGAATAGTCTCAAACTCAGTGTGCCCCAAACTGAGTTTATCGTATTTCGTGACCAGCTCATTACCCATTTCTTTCTCTGTTTCTTCTTACTTTATATTCTAATCCTCTCTGAATGGGCACAGATTGTGAAGATATCTGTGTCCCATGTGAATGTTCACCACAGCATTTACTGCTGCAGGGAGGCTCTTAATAACCAGGTGGGGAAAATGACATACTCTGTGGACGTCAGTGAGCCTCTTTCCCCAGCCATCCCAGTGCTTGCTCAATGGGCCCGTTAAAAAAAAGTGGTTATAGTGGTAGCAATGGAGTGCATGTATGGGCTCAATAGGTTGGATTTCTCTCTAGCAAGGCAGATGCTACTGCTAAGTGGCTAGTCTACCAGCAGCAGAGACCTGCATTAAAACTCAGCTGCTAACTGGTTGGTGCCTCCATTTCCCAGAGGGCCAGTTAGCCAACTGGTAGGAGGTTGATTATATTGACTATCACAGAGTGAGCAGAAATTCATCCACACTGAAAGAGCCACAGATTCTGGGTATGGATTTATATTCTCTGCTCTTAAAGCTTCTGCTAGCATTGCTCTCTGTGAACTCACAGAAATCCTTATCCACCATGATGGCATTCTGCGTTGTATGGAGTCTGATCAAGGAACTCATTTTACAGCAAAGGAAGTGCAGCGATGAGCTTATGCCCATGAAATTAACTGAATTTACCATATACCCCATAACCTAGTTGGCCTAATTGAAGATGGAATGGCTTACTGAAGACTCAGTTATGCCACCTGGTGGGA